TTCCATTCCCCACATCCGTGAATCCACAGTTACAGTGAAAGAGAATATATGAAGGATACAATTTAACAATCCTTTAATACTATTTTCAACAAACTGCAAATACAATTGTAGAACTGTTCTATTTTTCAAATGACTTGGTAGGAGCTGCAGTGTGTGAGGGTATTATGACAGCATTGTCCTCTTTTACTACTAATCTGCAAAATTATAGTTAGAAGTTTGGTTTGATTAAGAAAAACAATACTAAACACCTACTCAAATAAGAACCAAACATTTGAGGTTATCTTTTTAATATATTCATTACTGGAAAGGGTAGACAAATGTCATACAAAAATATATTTAAAAAGCATTATATAGAATCAGCAGAGTTATATGTAGGTGTTCATATCTATTCTTTTGTGATATATTTTTTTCATAATTCTGGCAATTTATTTTAATGTGTATAGTGATACTTATGGAGAGATGATTTGCTACTTGACTGGGATATACTTAGCATATTTTTGGTACCTTAGAAACTACCTACTAAAAACTACCTATCAAAAACTATCTAACAACATTAATAACTCTTGTAAATTATACAGTTTCAACTGTCATAATTTTCAGAACATTTCAGTCAAAGCAGCACATTTTTCTATTTTTTTTTTTTATTTGATATGCAACTGACTGAAATTTCTGTTACTTCAAAATCTACTGGAGTTGTTGAGCTAATATGTGCTAATCTGAGACAGACAGAAGGCTATATATGGTAGGGCAATTTCACAGTAGAGGAGGGTCAGAAAGGATTAATAGTGTAATCCTACAAATATGTATTGTTTTAAAGTGTAATGTGAATTTAATGTAATGAATTTATTCAGATCAAATTAATTGCCTTTAAAATTGAGTGCAATTCTGTGCAGTTTTGGAGGAGTTCTCCCTTCACATTATTTAATTAACTGAGACCTGGAATGTAGATGTCCATTTCCAAGGCTCTAGGCATTGAAAGATCATAGAATCAGAATAGTTTGGGTTGGAAAGGATCTTAAAGATCATCTGGTTCCAACCCACCTCTGCCAGAGGCAGGGTCCTTCCACCAGACCAGATTAGTATTTACCACTTAATTCTTGTAATAAAAAATGTCTCATGGAAAATTTATTTATTTATGGTCTACAAGACAAATCTAAAATGACAGTATAAATAAAATTGGAAGACAAACTGTCACAGTAGCTACTATTTTCTTTTTCTGCATTTTCTGTTTTCTGTTTCTCTTTATCTTTGATTATGATTAAATGAACTTCAATTTTTGTCTGAATTTTTACAAAACAAAGGCTGAGCAAAGTACCATATCTCTTTCAAAAATTGATTTGAGCACCTTTGGTCTTCTGTGTGATTTGTAGGTGAAGACGTATGAGTAGGCAATCCAAATTATCTTTACATCTCCTCACAGTCTTGTTGCATATAAGGAGCACAATTCTTCTATATTTTTTTTTTCTCTCTCGGGCTCTCCATCTCCTTAAAATCTGTTTTTCAAATATATGTCTTCCTCTTTTAAGATAATTTATCCTAAATAATTTTTTTCCTGGAATTCATACCTTGAATGGCAGATCCTCAGAGGCAAATATCTCATTGACTTCTGTGATGAAAGGTCATTCTGTACATTTTCTTGGCATTCTCTCTTTTCATGTTTTAAAACAAGCTGTTAAAGCTTCTCAACATTGTTATTCTGAATTTGAGTTCTTTCCACCAAGATGCAATTGGAATTAATGTAACAGGGCTGAAAATATTATACAGTCATTGTCATGAATAAGTTCATTTCAGTGACTAATAACATCAGTGAAAAAAGAAACGCAAGGCCTACTTAGATTTTGTACATACACAAAACAGTAAAGTTTGGAGAAAGTTGGAGAGAGTAAGTATTAAATTATAATAGGAAGGATGAACAGCATCAGATTTGCCCTGGAGTTGTTAGAAAAGATGCCTTGCTATTTCTCATTTGCCAAATTGGTTCCTAAAATGTGCATAAATTAAAATATTTCGCTGAACTATCTTTTTATTGCTCTTTATTATCCTGTAAGAATGGAAAGGAATTATAGTTAACAATTTAAAAACACCGTGCCATTCAGAATGAAATCTTGCAACTACATGTAAAAAAATAGATGCTTGTATATTATGCTTTCTTTTTGGCAATCTTTTCCTATATAAAATATATATAAGCAAAATATTTACAGCCTCTCAGACCACTGCTAACTAAATCCTTTTCACAATTAAACATATCTTTTATGCTAACTGGATAAACCAGATAAATAACAACAAATATTAAAGAATTTATGCACGTATTACAAAGCCTCCTATGTACTGAGTAAGTGGCATATTCGGAATCTTAAATTATCTTTAACATTGAGAATCAGTAATGGAAAACAAAAATTCTACACTGGACAAGAGCTAGAAGCTTTCATTTTTTGAAGAGAGTTTTATTGTGTGACATGGGAAACAGGGATTTGGACTAATGGGAGAGCACAACTATGCAGCATCTATCTTTCAAGCAAGACACAATCTCACACCAACTCTGGTAAGGGTCAAGTGTTTATTATATGTCCATCAAGGTCTTTACCAAAGACAAGGAAAAGTCTTGTTCCCCTAAGTCATTCCTGTATTGACTGAGAACTGAACTGGAATTACACATGAAAAGTAAAGAGTCTGGAGGATGGTGGGCTCAGTTTGAAACTTTTGAACTCATGAATATCTTTGAATGGGCATACCTTATAGTCATTATACTGTAATATGGGGACAAAATACTATATAGTTCTGTAGTACATGGTTTTGGATTTAAATAAGTATGTATATCTACATATATAATAGTATAGGACACCAGTAGGTCAAAGGTATCTTAGTATGTCAAATTTTAAGACACTTTACTTGCCATATATTTTTTTAATTTACTGATTTGGGCAAGGAAGTCCTATTGCTTTCACTCTAAATCTGAAAAATATGCAAACACGGAACTGATAATTCCAGTGGAAATTCTTGGTTTGGACAACATTTGTAGACTTTACCAAGTGTTGGCTGTAGAGAAAATAAAAAATCCTTCTTTTCTGTTTACAGAGAATATAAACAAATAAACAAACCAACCAATCTTCCCTTCTTTTATTCTCTTCTTTGCTTTCATTATTTAGCCTTTGACATACTGAAGTAACTTGCCATATTATTTTTTTACTTCAGAGGCAAATTTACCCTTCAATTCCACTGGAAACCTAGAGCTGGAGTTTAAGTGTTATTAAGGTTATATGGCTCATCTTCTTGCCCCTTCCAGATCAGCTTCACAACTTCACAGAAAATCCTTTCACAGTTGGCCTCTGAAGGAGTATTAGAGGCAGAGTCCACTTCTTAATGCTTCCCTCAAGCAGTTGCTGACACTATTGCAGCCTTTGAGTTTCAGTAACATTTGCAGTGCAAGTTAGACTGAGGATTATTTTGACCTAGGGACCATGAAGAATTTTTTTGTGCTAAACTTAGATGTGCATGGACCTGACCTTATCTAATACTGTCTTTTTTATTGCTTTTTTTCCATAATTTATTTTTCACTCTAGCAAGCTCTTCTAACAAAGTAATTTTGTATGTCCTTTCATATGAAGAATCTTCTTGCTGCCTAGCTATCGTTATGTTTCCAAGAAACTAAATACAGAACTCAGTGATCATATGATACTGTCACATAAAACCAAATGAACCCCAAAACTCTTTGTGAGGCATCTTTGACAGGACATGTTCACATCAGGATTCTACTTAAGATCAGAGAAGCACTTTTGAGATCAATGTCCTGGTTAGTTCCCAATCTCTGACACTGTTGGTGTCATAGAGGTATGTGTTGGTGACATGGAGCAGGCACCGTTGCGCACAAGTGAGGTTCCTTTTAGATGAAATTAAAAATTAACCTGATCATGTTAGGTAAGATCTGCCTACCTCAGGCACCCTGGCTATTTAGAAGCATTTGGTTCATGGAACCAAAGCGATTTTAGAGTAATCATCACTGAAATGTGTAACATTGACATCAGGTCCACAGCTCCACTTTTTAGCTCTACTAACCTTCTCCACCCATGTACCACTGCTTGGTAGTTGTAAAAGCAGTGGATTGCCAGCCAGCAGTGTCTATTGTAACACCAGAGAAATATGCAAGTCCAATGAAGTTGCCAGAATTGTTGCTGTGCAAGAGGAGGCATCAAATTTCTTGTTACTACAGCCATAGCCTGGTTATATGGATTGCCTCAAACTTGGGTCTATACTATAGGAATTTAGGGATCATAATCAATGGTTGAGAGTAACAGTTCTATAAATGTTTGAATGCTGCTATCAATAATAAAGAAATTATTTTCTCCCTGGAATAATGTAGATTAGATCTAGATATTTCATTTGTAAATACAGCCCTTGAAATACTGTGAAAAACATTTCATAAGCACAAAAGAATAAGGAAATTAATATTTGCAGATTCCTGAGAGGCTGTTACTAAATATAGTGAGTAATGTGCATGTATTTGTTAAACCCATCTAGGCTTCTCAGATGACTGTTCTACAAATTAGAAAATCAAAACATCTATGGGTAGTTAAGGTAATGTTCTTTTCAGGGTGTGATTCTATCTACAAAGTTCTGTCTAGGTATCTATATAGACCAGTTTAAAATGGCTTAAGAAAAAGTCTTCCAGATTTCCCACCAGGATACAGCTTTGTAATTGAATGTATAGCATTCTGAGATTGTTTTACAAGTGATTGGCATTCTTTAGACTGTATTTATAACACAGCTCTGGTAAAAAAAACAAGTATAATCAAATTAGATCCTGAGTAAGCTAATTTTCTTTCTCAGCCACTGCAGTGCATTTGTAATTCTCCTTACTATTGACATAGTGTTGTCATGCTCAGGCATACATCCCATAAAACCTTACTGACAGCTCTAACCTGTGTTTTATTTTTTCTTCCTCTTAACCACCCTCATATAAAACCCTTATGTCCAATGTGTATGTGCTTTGACTCCGGACACAGTTGCATGAGATATCGACAGACTATTACAATTGGTGAAGATATGGAAAGAAGCATGACTTTGCTTTAAAGAAGACTTTTTTTCCTGTCCAACTTGTAGTGAAAATGAAACCATCATTTGGATTGCCGAGATGAGCCAAGCAACTATTAGATGTTGCCTTGCCACACAGAAGAGGATTTTATTTACCTTTGCATGTTCTTAAGACAGCACGGATTAGGCAGAAGCATTTGAAATCTTCAGGCATTAAAATATCTTGAGGATATTGGTAGAGGTGAGTGCCAAATAAATGCCCCTCTAACATAAGTGACATAATGCAGTGATTATGAACACTGCCCATCTGTGCAGTGGTCATGCTTCAAGTGTTCCAGTTTGCATATGAGAAGTCATGACATGTTCTTATTGCAAGCATGAATGAATTATTATTAATGATATGGAAGCAGAGATATTGCGTGTCTTTCTCAGAATTTTCCTACATCCTACTAAAATAGCTACTAAATCACATATAGGAAGAGAGCACCTCAGCTGTGCTGATCCTGCTGCTTGGTACAGGCTGGAACCAAAGAAAGCAGTATGGAGAGCTCAAAGTGTCACAGGTGGACAGGCTGAAAGTATTGCTATAGAAAGTCTTAGGAAAGACAAATATATTTTGTCAAAACATCTCACAAAGTGACTGGATTAGTCAAAGTAACAGAATTCCAAAGCAGCTGTGCTGGTCCATCTGCTTGTGGGTTGACTTTGACAGGTTGTAATTGGGTTTGAATGGCCGGGTTTTGGTAGCAGGGGGAGCTAAAGGAGTGGCTTCTGTGAGAAGCTGCTACAAGCTTCCCCCATGTCTGGCAGAGCCTATGCCAGCCAGCTCCAGGATGTACTCACTGCTGGGCAAGGCTGAGCCAATCAGGAATGATAGTAACATCTCTGAGGTAACATATCCAGAAGGAAAAAAAGTTATTGCAGAGATGTAAGAGCAAGTGAGAATATGTGAGAGGAAAACTCTGAAGATACCAAGGTCACTGGGGAAGGAGGGTGAGGAGGTACTCCAGGCACCAGAGCTGAGATTCCCCTGCAGCCCATGGTGAAGAACATGGTGAAATAGATTGTCCTCCTGCAGCTCCTGGAGGCTAGTGGGCATGAAGAGATCCACCTGCAGTCCATGGAAGAGACACATACCAGAGCAGGTGTATGTTCAAAAGACACTGTGACCCCGTGTGAGGCTCATGCTGGAGCAGGCTCCTGGCAGGGACCTGCAGACCCATGGAGAGTGGAGCCCACACTGGAGCAGGCTTCCTGGTAGTATTTGTGATCCTGTAAGGGACCCACATTGGAGCAGTTCATGGAGAACTGTCTCCTGTGGGAGGGACCCCACACTGGAGCAAGGAGTCTTCTCCCAAATCAGCAGCAGGAACAATGTGTGATTTAAACTGAGCATAACCTCCATTACCTGTCTCCCTGTGCCACTGAGGGGAGGAGGTAGAGCCGGGAGAGAGGGAGGGGTAAGGGAAGGTGATTTTAAGATTTGGTTTTACTTCTCATTATCCTGCTCAGATTTTGTTAGTAATAAATTCAGTTAATATCCCCAAATCAAGTGTATTTTGCCCATGACATTATTTGGTGAGTGGTCTTTCCTAGTCCTCATCTCAACTCATGAACCATTCACTACATTTTCTTTCCCCTGTCCACTTTGGAGGGGAGTGATAGAGCTGCTTTGATAGGTGCCTGGCATCCTGCTCGGGTCAACCCACTACACAGGTGCTCACAAAACTGCTCTCTCACTTCCCCTTCTCAGCTGGACAGGGGAGAGAAAATAAGATGGAAAACAACTTGTAGGTTGAGACAAGGCAGTTTACTAAAGCAAAAGGGAAAGGGTGAATGTGCACAAGCAAAGGAAAAAACCCCAAAATTTTATTCTCTACTTCCCATGAGCAAACCATATTGGGCCACTTCCCAGTAAGCAGGTCTTCAGTGCATGTAGCAGTTGCTTCAAAAGGCAAACACTGTAAATAATGAATGTCTCCACTCCATCTTCCTTTTCTTAGCTTTTGTATCTGAACTTGATGTTGTAAGGTCCCTTTGTTTAATTTGGGTCAGCTATTCTAGTTGTGTCCCCTCTCAACATCTTGCCCTTCTCCAGCCTACTGATGAAAGGGTGAAATGTTTGACAGTGCTGGTACTGAGGGTGCATGGCTTAGCAGTAGCCAAAAAAGTGGTGTGTTATCAACACCTTTCTAGCTACCAATGCAGAGTACAGCAGTATGAGGGCTGCTGTGGGGAAAAATCACTCTGTCTCAGCCATACCCAATATAGCATCTCTGTCTTGTGCTTCAGAAACAACTGGCAAGGTGTGTGACCACTACCTGAATGCTGAGTGTGACCACTGCCTGAATGCTGACTAACCAAAGCCTGTTTCTGAGAACTGCTGGAAAAACCCTGCTCTACATTAGGACCTCAGAAATACTGGATCAAAAACTAAGTACATCTCAACCAGGCTTGATTCTGGAGCTGTACAGGGTGCAAGAGTCCCAGCACCGACAGTTTGAGTTTTGCAGGGCATAGCTGAGCCCACTGCTGAGGCGGGGGCACCTTGGGGGAAAGGTGTTTAGGAAAGAGGAGAAAACACTACAGAGGGAGGAGGAAGGAACTAAAAAAGTGAGAAAGAGCAGAGGGAATGCCAAGGTGAGAGAAGGAGAAGGTGGGGTCGAGTGGAGGATGGTTTAGGTTTTGTCTTTGTTTCTCACTATTCCACTCTTTTTGTGATTGTCAAGAAATTAAATTCATTTTCCCCAAGTTGAGTCTGTTTTGCCTGTGATGGCAGTTGGTGACTGATCTCCTTTTCCTTATCTCAACCTATGAGCTTTCCATCTGACTTTCTCCCCCTTCTCCTGCTGAGGAGGTGAGTGATTGACAGAGGTTGGTGGGAGCCTGCCGCCATCCAAGGTCCACTCATGATCCAGCACCCATCATAGGTATTCACACATGATCCAGGTGCACATATCTAGGAGTTCAGGTCCAGGAATACTACCTTTGTGTGAGTGAGCATGAAGTGTTTCAGAAAAAATGAGCTGGCTTCCCTGAAAGCTGAACAAGCTAAGTGCTGTATGCAGTTAAGGTCACAGAGTAAGTGGAGTCTAGATGGGGACAGGGCAAATGTTTACTGTGATATTATGTGTGTACATGTTATAAAGCTTCAGGATTCTTTTTAAATTCATTTAAACATAAGAAACCAAATCCCTTGAAGGCACAAAATAGAAATTTTTCATTGAAATGAAATCTCATGCTACCTGCTGTTAGAGACTAATTGCTCACAATCAATGAACTCTTATCTTTTTCATTTCAAAATTATTAGCACTACTTTGGTTATTAGTGTAATTTGGTGTTATCCTTTTTTCTTTCCAAATTAAAATGCACCATGATATGCTCTAAAATGAATAAGGAGTTTAATTATTTTTCCAAGGCAAAACATTTAATTTAAGTTTATATTCAATACTCCTGTAGAATACATCAGTATTATCATAAAAAAGGCAATTTTGTCATGTGAGTGAAATAATTGAAAGGTGTGTGGGGTGTGTATGGTTAAAGTGCTGAGATGACAATAAGTTGATACAGAAAGAATTCGTCAGTATCTCATAGTCTATATTCTTTGTTTTAAAGATCATTCTCCCCCGTAATTCAGCTTTCCTTTTGCTAAACCATTTCTTGCTTCTGTCTGATCCCTCACACACTTCCTGAGACATCTGGTCACTGAATCTTTTTTAGTGAATCACTGACTCCCATTTGAATATCAGACAATGGTCACACACACAGTAGTTTGGTCTCTACCCACTTTTACTTATCACAATGATCACAGATATCTAGTTATCAATTAGCTTCATTCAAATTCCTTCTGAACAAACAATTTTAATCTTCACAGTTTTTCAGCTGAGATTATCCCACTGCTAAAGTATCCTCTTCAAGCAAGTTTTTAGAAGCATTATAAGTAATGCTGTTCCTTGTCTTCATATGATATTTTGGGTTATTTTGAATATGACTATTGAATTTTCATAAAACCTAAATTTTCTTTTGCTGGACAAATATTCAGAATGCTTGATTTATTTAAAATTTTCAAATTCAAAGCTACTCTTATCTCTGTGAGTTTTTAAAAGATGAAAGTATTTAATTTTCTACTTTGAATTTTGATTTTATACTGATTTTTTAAAATATTATTTTTAAATTTAATGGTGATTTCACGTGTTTTCTGATCTACACTACCCCACAACACTTCCTACTGTAAAACATCTTCATTTGTTCATTTCAGTCTTGGCTGGTTTATGACAGGGAACATCCAGTCTGTATGGAAGTCAAACATCATTACACTCAATTCTAATTAGTTTGTTCTTCCATTTTCACAGGAATGTTCCTCATTCATTTTCATTGTTTGACTGCATCTAACATTCCTACTTGGTGCTTCAAGATTAAGTCTTTCTGGGTATGAGATTAATTCCATTAGGACTTTTTTTGACCTCTACATTGCTTCTAGATCAGCTTTCTGATAATTAATTCTGAATCTTCTTGGTTTTGCTTATTTGCATACCCAATTTGCCACCTCTGGATCATTGTCAAAACATCGAGCTTCCTGTCACAGTAATTGTAACTCCCTCTTTTCACCATTTTTTCTACATTTGCATTCTGTAAAATCTAAGCCAGTGAAGCACTTAAGATCTAAGGCGTAAAATATCTCACCACCATTGTGACCCTGTACAAAATCCTATGGTTATGCAGTTTCAATCATGCATTTGGACAGTTGACTGAATTTTCCCTTCAGTACACCCTGCAGCCATAAATTTTCTCAAAGGAGCTGGAAGGGAATCAGAAAAACTTTATTCCATAGAATGAATGGTCGTGTTTGTTCAGCAATCCATAAGCTGGAAACATTGTGAACCTGAAAGTTTCTCTGTCTTATGTCTGGGCCAGCAACACTAGTCAATTTGCATCTCATGATTCTCTTCCTTACCCTTTGAATCATTGTTCTCTGACAACTATATCAAGGTGAGACTAATGACTTGAGGAAAACAGGTTATTTAAATTGTCTTGTACATATAAGCTTCAAATTACTTTTTTTTGAAATATCCTAATTTCTTTAACCTAAATAATTTTTGTCATAATGAAACTGAGACAAGACTGTTTTTGTGAAGTGATGTTTCTTTGGCCAGATAATGGTTTTTTTGCAAGTGAAGGAGACAAAAGATATTTTAGGAAATGCTGAGAAAATGAAGACATGGGTAGGTAAATGCAAAGTAG